AATTAGCAAGGGTGATTTTTAGCAGTAATTTCATTTTTCTTTGGATTTAGCAGAAATTTTAAAAGCGACTTTCCTCCTTCACTCCCTCTCACTTCTCTCAATTAGAAAAATGTACATTGGCTTAATGCACATTCAAAAACATGTTGGGGAGAATGCATCGGCTAGGAACAGGGTTTGCTTTATGAAATCTCACTGTGGATTGTGTCTCTGCGTGTGGAAGGTTATGTTCTGAGCCACTTACAGTGTTTGGCATAGCATCTCTGACCTTTCCCTCGTCCCAGGCAGCCCTGCTGTGTAAAGACACAGGGAGCCTCGCAGGTGTGTCCCCTCATCGGCCAAAGCTGACAATTTACATATTCTGTTTTCTCTCCTCTACTTGGAAAATTCCACTCCGTCCTTCACGAAAGTTTAGTTTTCAGTAAAGAAGGATGGTTCATGCTACAGTGAGGTCCAGTGGAAAGGAAATAGGGTATGGCGTAGGACAGTTGTGAACCGTATCCTGAAATTATCATGGAATGGTTGTATGACTGCATGTGTTCCTTATTAACCTTTTCTGGCCCCCACATTCCTTGTCTTAAAAAGAAAAAAGGACAAATCTCATAGTATTGTTATGAGGATTAATGAAGGGAAATAAGGTTTATAAAATACAGCAGGCATAAAAACATTGCACATAAAAAGATCATAGCTAATCGGAGTTTAGTTGTTAATGTTGATAAATATTTCCATACACTGTATTCACTGTAACTAATGAGCTTGTGACTACTCTGTACGCAATAGGAGGAAAGAGATTTCCCTGCTAACCACTTTCCCGGACACTGAGGCCAGGCTGGGAGCTCAGTGAGAGATGATTACAGGAGAAAGTATAAGTGCTTCAAGTTTATCATTGCTGGAAGATTACATTGCCTTTGACCACTTGAACTTTAAAAAAAAAAGGTCTTATATTGGAATTGGCTCTTTGCTAAGAGAGTAAATTGAGTTAAACAAAGATGAAATTCCATTGTCAGCCACATGTGGCTATTTCCATTTCAATTAATTAGGATTAAGTAAAATTAAAAATTCAGTTCCCCTGCACACTAACCACATTCCATGTGTTCACTGGCCACACACGTTTAGTGACTTCGACAATGAACAGCTTAGAGATAGAACATTTTATATATATATATTGATTTCAGAGAGGAAGGGAGAAGGAGAGAGAGATAGAAACATAAATGATGAGAGAGAATCACTGATCGGCTGCCTCCTGCCAGTCCCTACTGGGAATCGAGCCCAAAACTCAGGCATGTGCCTGATCAGGAATTGAACTGTGACCTCCTGGTTCATACGTGGACACTCAACCACTGAGCCACACCGGCTGGGCAGGACATTTCTAATATTACAGAAAATTCTGTGGGACCGTGCTGTTCTAGAGCTCCAGTTTTCAAGTAGTTTTTAATAGAAAATATTAAAAATGTACATGGGTGGGGGCTAGTTGGTTTACAGGACACAGCCCTGAGGAGATGTCTATATATTTTGCTCTCACAGTCTGTGCAGACTCAGGGCGCTGCCCTGCGAAACTCCAGGACACAGTGTCCCAAAGCCAGAGCCTGCCCCTGGTGGGCGAGAAGCCTCTACTCATTTACCTGCATGCTAACCCAGGAATATTTTGTCCTTTTTTGGCTGAGAGTTTGGAAGTTTGAAAATACAGGTTCCCTCACTATCCAAAAGTAGAGTGTTCCTATGAAACCTTAGGTAAGCCGAAATGGTGTAACGTGAAGGAGCAGTTTCATTAGGACTCATCTTGGTAACGATACACAAAATAAATGGAGATAAAGCGCAGGTGCAACAGACAGTTCGAAGCTCCGGCCGGGGCTTGCTGCTGAGATGCTGAGCGTGGCTCCTGAACGCTGTTTTTGCTTGTCACCTTTTTTCATTGTGAAGGAGCAGTTTCATTAGGACACATCTTGGTAACGATGCACAAAATAAATGGAGATAAAGCGCAGGTGCTCACAGACAGTTCGCAACTCCGGCTGGGGCTTGCTGCTGAGATGCTGAGCGTGGCTCCTGAACGCTGTTTTTGCTTGTCACCTTTTTTCATAAAAGCAAAGATCCTCTTCAAATTTCTACCAGTTAGCAAAAACAGGGACTGATGTAGGTCTTTCCTAAAAGCAAAGTAGCATATGCAAACTTTCAAAAAGTGTGGGCTACTGTCCCTGGAAGGCCAGGCCCAGCTCAGGTTTGGGTGGAGAGAAGCCAGTGAAGCAGCTAGCACCCGGTTTCCCTGGGACTTAATACGGTGGTGCCTTCTGGGCCAAAATGTTTCTTCTGTTCTGGCTCCAGTAGGTGCTGTTTGGGGGACAGGCGGATGGTTTGGGAAGAAACGGAAGAGAAGTAGAACCTAAAGCCATTGTTCCTTTTTTTAAGATCACACTCACAAACTTTGTGTCGGTGAACGAGAGGTTGGTGTACACACCCCATCCGAAGAACCCTGACATGTACGTGGTCTCGCCCCGGCTTCCACACGTTGAACTCCAGGGTCAGGGCGGGTGGAGCCTCCCCTCTCTTCGGGTCGCTCAGCCTTGTGCTTCTTGCTCCTCTGCAGGACGGTGCTCACACAGGAAGCCATCATCACCGTGAAGGGGATCAGCCTTGGTAGCTACCTGGAAGGCTTAATGGCCAACACAATATCATCCAACGCAAAGAAGGTATGGCTCTCCGTCCGGCCCTGTGTGTGCTCTGGCTGTTAGGTGCCAGGGGAAGCGGGTGAAATGCGAGGTCCCGTAGTCCGTGCGTGCGGGGCCCGCTGTCTAGTTTAGCTTGTACTGCTGCATCATGTTCCATATTTACCTTCAAAACTGGCAGCAAGGGAGGCGTGCCCATCCGAGGGAAAAGTGCAGGGTAAAGCCAGCCGAGGCGAAGAGCTGAAATAACAGGCTCAGTTATTAAACAACCCCACACATTAAATGATGTGTGTTTATGTCGTCAGGCAGGGCATGCGGGATTTTCCCCGGTTTCCTATTTCATAGGCGTTATGTAGCTTTGGCCCCACCTCTCCATTTGCGAGCTTTCCCTGGAGGCAGCTGGCATTCTCTGGCAGGACTGGGGAGTGAGCTTGGTGGAGGTGAGAGGAGAAAGGATGCACCCGGGAGGCCATCCTGCCCGGGTCCCTGGGTGGAGGGCTCAGCCTCAGGGACTATCCCGGAGTCCAGGTTGCCTTCCTCTGCAGCAGAAGAGAGAGCTGGGATGTGTGCAAGTTCAAGGTAATGCCTGCCGCTCACCAGGGCAGGGCCTGGCTTTTCACCTTAGCTTACTTCACAGGCTCCCACCTTCCCCAAGCGTCCTCCCTTTGCTCCCACCCTGGCCACCCTCCCCTTCTCTCCCTTTGTCTCAGTCAGAAGTGATGCCTCATGTTGGTCATCAGTTAGCTGCTGCCTAAGCCGTACTTCCCTGCCTACCATGCATAAGTCAGATCCTAGCGGGAAACTATTTTTGCTCACATTTAGTCTAGAAGAGCTAATCTGCCCCACTGTTTAGAAAAATCCAGATCTGAGAAATGTATGCAGTCGCTTGGCTCGGTTCAGGGAAGGTGGAACCACAGTGCCTCAAGCTGCGCGCATTGTGTCCCCAGTGCGAGCCCTGGGGGGAGGGGAGGACAGCCTTACTGACCCGTGTGTCCAGGGTCTGGCTTAGGGCAGGCACCCTCCGGTTTGTGAAAAAACAAGGAGGAAGTCAATACTGGGTGAGGCCAAAGCCACCTCAGACCTTTTATGAGAAAAATCAGGGTAAACTCAGTGCAGCCAAATACAATTCTTTCATTCACTTATCTTAGGGGTTATTGTGTTGAAGGCCTGGTAGAGAATCAGCCCTCCCTCTAGCTATAGTTATGATTTGACAGAATCGCTGGTCAGTCGGGGAGATGCCTGGGAGAGCTGGTAGGCCGAGGGTGGGCACAGGAGATGGGAGATGGGGCATCAGGTCATCTGGGATTCGGGAGCCAGAGCTTTGGGACAACACATGGAGGCCAGGAGGGTGGCTGCCTTTCCCCTCGCCCTGCTCTCAGGAGGTGGCGGTGCGGGTGAGGGGTGCCAGTGTCAGTATAGCCAACCTGGTGCAGGAATTTTAGGCAGAATGCATACCCCCTAATTTCGAATTTGAGACACTGCCTGCTTACAGGGAAAGATTGCTCGCAAATGGTGACTGTTGTATCTTTAAAACTGCCGTTTAAATCACAGGCTTGCAGCTGCCGCTGCAGGAGGCAGAGCTCTTACACCATGTTGAAACCCTTCTGTGTTGCTCCAGGGGTGGGCTGCTATTGAGTGGATAATTGAAAATCCTGAAAGCGCTGTGAGCTAACGGGGCCTGCACCTGCGCCTCATGAACAGTGCGATTGAAACTTTATGGCCCATGCGCAGAAGTCGGTATTTTGTGGAAGAGCCACACTCAAGGGGCCAAAGAGCCGCATGTGGTTTGCGAGCCGCAGTTGGCCGACCACTGTCCCACAGCCTGTGCAGAGTACAGAGCTTTCATTAGTAGGTCCGGACAGTGTGAAAGGCCGGGTAGCGGGAGGATTGTTTCATTTGGAGTGGGATTTGAATATTTGCACATGTTCTCATAAAGACTACTCTGTGCCCTGGCGCCAGTGCTGAGAGGAGAAAGTGGGCCCACCTTCTCCCTCCCTGCAAGCCAGCCCCCACCGTGCACCTGCCACTGGCCGTTTCCTTTTAGTGGCAAAAGCATCTCCTTGAGCTACCCAAACACCCCTTGGTTCCTAGGCCAGCAGTGGCTGGATTGTCAACATGGATTTGACACTTAATGGTCAGCAGTGATCTTCATATCTCATAAGAAAGTCAGAGTTTCCTGCTGCCTTCTGTTTGTGGGATCCTTACACTCCTGCCTTCAAACTCCTCACCCTGTTGACTCTCTCCGCTGTGCTGCTCTGGGACCCGCTGCCCGCGGTCGGTCTGTCTGTGGGCTGTCTGCAGCACCTGGGTATACATTTGGTGCCTCAGTCAGCAAATGACAGCCGCGGGGTTCAGTCTTCTTTAAGAACTTCTTGCTGATTTTTCTTAAGTCACTGAGGTTGAGGTTTGCCATACGCCTTTACCTTGAACCCAAGGTCATGGTCTGCAGCTGATCCTCTTTCCTTCCATGGATGCACCGCTAAGGTGACCACTGGGTGAGCATGGTGTGTGTGGGCAGTGTGGTGTGTGGGATGGTGTCAGTTTGAGTTGTGGACTCTGCCACATTCAATTTCCTCATACACTGGAGCTAAACTGCCTCAATCTTTAATCAGATGCCCAAAAAATCAAAGAGGAAATAAAGAAAGGAAGAAAGAAGCAAGTCCTGAATACGATTCAAGGGCCCAGTCTGGGAGAGGTGTGGAATCTGCTGGAATCCGCCTCCTGCCTGCTCGCAGCCTCCTCCAGGCTCCTCCGTGGTGACCCCAGGACAGGAAGCTCGGCCAAGGTGCAGAAGGAGCTCCTCTGTTGCAGAGTGAGACCCAGAGGAAGACGACCTCTCACAGGAGGAGGACAGGGGCCACGAAGCTGCCACTTCGTCATCCTGATTGCCGAGCAGGGTCCTGGGAGCCGGCCCTGCCCACAGCCTAGCCGCCCCCATGCCAGCGTTTAGTCAGACTGTTCTTGTGCCTTTGTCTATTTTCTCCTTAGCAACAGCTCCCGGCTCTTTCTTGCCAGTTCTTGGGAAAGCACTAAATAGCTTTTCTCTTTTCAGATTGCTGCCCGTTTCCCTCCCCTGCCTCTTAAATAACAGTCTTCACCACCAGTCCCTTTACACATAGCTGGTTACCATCTGCCGTTTCAGATGGTGTTGCCATGGACCCCTCTCTTCCCCTCATCACTGCGCAAATCTGCACACGCTAGAGCAGGGGCGTCCCCCCCGCCCCCAACGGTGACATGTGTGGTTGACAGGACCGTGAGCTCTCCAATCAGAGGCAGAACTGGTCAGGAGAGCAAAGCTCTGTCCTGGGCCTGCACCTCGTCTGTCCTGCCATCTGGGACCAGTGACCCCAAGTGCTGAAGGCCAGGGTCCCTTCTCCGCATTCAGACCTGTCCTCATGGAGAGCCACTGCTATCCTGTTAGCTTGACGGCGCTTCCCAAATTGGGAGTTTTCATTTTCCCGTTTTCAAAAGTAAAATCTCTTTCAATATCTTTCAAATTATAAAACCTTTAGAGAAGGCCTCCTCCATAAAGGATGGGTAGAACCTGTGTTTCACTGTTTTATTAGGTATTGCTTTTTGTTTGATAATAGTACTTCCAATCCAACATGAAATTACTCATTTTTATTTTATTAGACTATTTTATGCATAAAGCTTAAGGCAAAATAGAGTTTTTATGTCAAAAACAAACACTCTTACCCCTTTTGCACTGCAAGGTTTGCCCCTTCTGAGAGGACTCTGAACTCTTGGCTATTTCTGCCATTTACTGTTAGATTTCTAAATAAATAGGCATATTCTGCTTTTTTCTTGATTCAATAATTTTAGATGTGGTCTGTTGACTTCCCGTGGTGGTGGATTATTATTTTATCTCTTACAGCTTCTCTCCCCCCCCCCCCCCCCCCCCCCCCCCCCACTCTCTCTAAAAATCAATGGGAAGATATCCTCAGGTGAGGATTAAAAAAATAACAGGCATAAAATGAGCTGCCATCATAGAGTAAAACACACACACACAATAACCAGTGCCCAGACAAGAGTCAGTTCACAGACCTGAAAGCCCATCAGCAGCTATATTGTAATGTATGGTTAAAAGCACATTCAGAAATTACAACGTTTTGAAAATATATTACTGTTATTTTTTAACAAGCCAAACGTAAATACCAGAATTATGTTTTCTTATATAAGTTTTTTCCCTTGAAGGTAATACTGATCTCATTCTCTTAATCTATTTATTTCTTAGAAGTCTGGCTGAGTCCTCCTACACTCTTCACCCACTCTCTGCAATGCCCCGCGACATCGTCTCCCACAGGGTATCCTCTCCCGTTTCCCTGGCGCTGCCCTTCCTGGGAGCCTGGTCTCGCTCGCTCTCCTGTGGCCCAGCAGCCGCAGGGCTGTCTTCAGTCCGGGCACTTCCTAGGCCCGCCTCCTGTCCTGGAACCTTGTCTCCTGGGCTCCCTGCCTCTTCTCTTCTGGGTTCCCGACTGGAAAGGACTCTTGTGGTAGCGCCTAGGACAGTGATGGGGAACCTTTTGAGCTCGGCGTGTCAGCATTTTGAAAAACCCTAACTTAACTCTGGTGCCGTGTCACATATAGAAATTTTTTGATATTTGCAACCATAGTAAAACAAAGATTTATATTTTTGATATTTATCTTATATATTTAAATGCCATTTAACCAAGAAAAATCAACCAAAAAAATGAGTTCGCGTGTCACCTCTGACACGCGTGTCATAGGTTCGCCATCACTGGCCTAGGACTGAGCACATCTGAAAATGTCTCTTCTGTTCTCACGCTTCATTTACGATTCTAGATAAAAAACGCTTTCACTCGGAAGTGTGGAGGCATTGCTCCATTGTTTTGCACTCTGGTTCTTGGTCTCCGCATGGGGCTTTTTTCTCTCTCAAAGCTTTTAGGATCTTTTTATCTCTGATCTGGGAAATTTCATACGGCTAAGCCTGGCTTGAAGTGATCTTTTAAAATTCACTGTGTTGTATGTGTTGAATTCCTGTTTTTGATATTGTATTATAATTATATAAGATGTTATTAGGGGAAAGTGGGTGAAAGGTACATGGGGCATTCCTGTACCATCTTTGCAGCTTCCTGTGGGTTTATAATAATGTCAAAATTAAAAGTTAAAAAAATATATAGTGACATCACGGAAAATGGCAGCGGTGGTGCTCCAAGAATCAGGCCCTCCAATGAAACAACCAATAAGCTGGCAAAATTGACAGAATCAACTTGTTAGTTTATTTTGTTCATTAGATTCCACATATGAGTGAAATCACATGGTACTTGTCTTTCTCTGACTGGCTTATTTCACATAGCATAATGTTCTCCAGGTCCATCCATGCTGTCGCAAAGGGTAAGATTTCCTCCTTCTTATGGCTGAGTATTATTCCATTGTGTAAATGTACCACAGCTTTTTTACCCACTCGCCTACTGATGGGCACTTGGGCTGCTTCTAAATCTTGGCTATCCTATCTAATAAAGAGGGAATATGCTAATTGACCTTCATGCTGTCGCAAAGATGGTGATCCTGGACTGTGAGAGGGGACAGTCTGGGCTGAGGGACCGCCCCCTCCAGTGCATGAATTTTCATGCACCGGGCCTCTAGTTGTAAATAATCATGCAATGAACACATGGGTGCATATACTCCTTCGAATTAGAGTTTTGGGTTTCTTTGGATATATTCCTGGAATTGTAATCACTGGATCATAAAGCACTTCCATTTTTAATTTTTTGAGGAAACTCCATATTATTTTCCACAGTGACTGCACCAATCTGCATTCCCACCAGCAGTGCACTAGGGTTCCCTTTTCTCCACATCCTCGCCAACACTTGTTTATTGATTTATTGATAATAGCCGTTCTGATAGGTGTGAAGTGATTTTAATTTGCATTTCTCTGATGATTAGGACATTGAGCATCTTTTTATATGTCTATAGGCCAGGTATATGTCCTTTTTGGAGAAGTGTCTATTCAGGTCCTTTGCCCTTAAAAAAAAAAATCCTCACCCGAGGATATGTTTATTGATTTTTAGAGAGACGATTCTCTGAAGAAGATAGGGAAAAGAACAAGCATTGACAAAGATGTGGAGAAACTGGAAACTTGTTGCATGCTGGTGGTAATGTAAAATGGTGTCGCCACTCCATGCCTAGTTATATACTCAAAACTATTGAAAACAAGTACTCAAATATAGGAATGTTCACAGGAGAATTCATAGCCAAAAGGTGGAGACCACCCAATGTTTTTCAACTGATAAATGGATAAACTAAATGTGGTGTATCCATACACTGGAATATATTTCAGCCACAAAAAGGAATGAAGTACTGACACATATTACAACACGGGTGAATCTCTAAAACATTACGCTAAGTAAAAGAAGCCATGCACAGCAGCCTGCGTACTGTGTGGTTTCATTTACACACGCCATCTAGAATGGGTAAAGCTGTTTACCCATCAAAGCAGATTGGTGTTTGCCAGGAGGTCAGGGGAGGCACACGTGGGGGAGACTGCTTAATGGGTACGGGATTTCCTTTTGGAGTGATGGAAATGTTTTGAAATGAGATAGAAGTGATGGTTGCACAACACTAAATGTACTACATACCTCTGAGGGTATACTTTAAAATGGGTAAGGTATGTGAATTTCATCTCAGTAAAAAATAAGGGAATAGTTTTAAACAAATATGT